ACTTGTCAAGACCCGCAAAGAAGCCGTATACCATTGGCACAACACTGACTGGCATGGAAGTATTTGGTTGTGGGTCAAAAATAGGTACCCGTTTTGGGAACCCTGTAAATGGAGCCAAAGACTAAAACCTGCAGTTTCCTGGTGGTTCAATTTCGACCCATACCCATTTGGACCTGGCATTATTTTAGGCTTTGGCAACATTGACAGTGAGCGCCACAGAGCGTACACGTAATCATCGGCCTCTCGCCCTGGAACGAAGAGCAGCCGTGCTTTCTGGTCAAGCCTTCGGGGGCTTTCCCCGCCTGCGCCGCGTTCCGCGTTGCTTTGTGGCTGGAGTCCGGGTAAGGAGACAGCCGCAGCCCTTGAGCCATGAAGCAGACGGATGGACAGGGCCCAAGCCGAAGGGATGTTGTCCTTTGTTCTTCTGTCTTGCGGTGCGTGTGCGTGTGTGCGCGCGTGCGTGTGAGTGTGTGTGTGTGTGACTCCAGGTGTGTTTGAGTGTGTGTTTTGTTCTTTGTCGTGTTTGTTGGATTAATTGTGTTGTGTTGGTCCCGCACATTTGGGAGAAATCAACAGGGCAACCATGACCTTAGAGATCCGATCTTAAGAGAGGGATTCGCCGAAAAAGCGGGGCAACTGCAGCTGACAATCCATCCCACGAGGATTGTCCCCATTGGATCCTTGGTGACCCATTCGGCCTGAAATCAGATCCTCACCAGCGTGTTGCGGGATAAGCCATGTTTGAGGGAGGCTGTTGGTCCTGGTCATGGGGGCTGTGAAGTGCTTTGAAGCAATAGTCGAATTGCGTCACGGAGTTCGCTTGGGCATCCTCTGCACAAGTTGACCATCGTGTGAGTCAGGTCATTGGAGCGTTTGGCAGGTTTGAACGTTCGCTAGACTGCTAGACGCTTGTGTGCGTGAGTCTTTCTGCAATCCCAATCATGCAATGCTCACCATCCTGCCCCCACAAAACGAGGAACTTGCAACTTCTGAAGCTCACCTTCCACACCTCAATCATTATGTGCTGATACTTCCAGTCATTGCACGGGTCTTTCAAAGACGAGACATCAGCCGGAAGCATTTATGTTGGCCTCGGCCGGAGTTTGCTCAAACAGCGCATCGCTCTGCTTTTTGTAGGCTACAGGCGCTTGCGAAGTTGGCCATACCAAGCTTTAGTGCCGTCGCGCTGCCCACTCGGGAGCCCAGACGAAGCGTTTTCTGACGCCCTGGGCCCTACACCCTGGACCAAAAAAAACCCGCCCCTAAACCCTAAACCCTAAACCGGGGACAAACAACTTCTCTGAATCGATGGCAGGTGTGATGTCATTGCGGTTTGAAGATTTCTCCGGCCCCAAAGCACTGCCCTGCTTTCTGAAGCCTGGGGGGACAACGGGCGACCAGTACTGAAAAGGCCACATGATATTCGATGTTGTTTTGATGGTGTAATTTCCATGATCCTACTTGCAAGCCCCAAATTGGACGCAGCTGCAAGCCAAATATAAGCAGAATGACTTGTTTGGGGGCCTAAAGGTGATGTTTGAGCCCACATATTAGGTCTGTCTCAAAATGTACCCCAAACTGGGTGGCGTCCCTTTGGTCTCCCGCCAAACCACCCCCCGAAAAGGGAACCCTCAAGACCAGCCGCGGGAAGGGCCTCCGCGCCTGGCCGGTTTTTCGGGTTTTGAGAGGCGCAGCGCGCGCAGCGCCGCGGTCGCAGGCAAAGTGGAGGGGGCGGGTGGGGTTGGGGTTTGGGGTTTGGGGTTTGGGGTTGGGGGGTTGGGTGGACTGATAAGTTCGAAAGCTTCGGGAGGACTTGGTTCTTCCTCTGATCTTGTAAGGCAGTAGGCGTGGTGTCTTCTTCTTGGGAGAACAAGCATGACATGTCTCCAAATATCATGGCATTCAAGACTGGCGCTGATGATATGTGCTGGTTGCAAGGGCGGTGAGGAGGTTGCTGCAGGCGACATTGATGACTCGTGGCCAATCACTTCATGACATGGCATGACAACCATCGGTAGACGTGCCTCCGCCTAAATGATGTTGGCAAAGCTGGTTTGACCAATGGTGATCATATTGTGGTCCTGACAATGGTGGTGTGCCAATGGTCAACTGGTCGTTGTCCCAACAACTGTGCTGGGCGTTAATTAGTTTAAACTAATGCCACTGCCGTGAATGCTGGCTCTAGTTTCTTTGTGACATCTGTGAAGTGGTTCAAGTGGCAGTGGGGTCATTGCGTTGGTAACGCCACTACTCCACGAAATGGCATTGTGCTACGCGTAGAAGGTCTTGAACAAACACTGAACGACATACCAGGCACTGAAAATACAATGTCTCCCGTTGCATGAAATCATTCCGCGCGTTCAAGTTTGTGTAAATCTGGACAGCCTACGTTGCGACTGTTCTAGTGGCTTTGTCCTGGTGGGACAGCCTTTTGTGACCGTTGTTTACAGACATATTCGATGATATATCAGTCATGCATGTGGGTTCCCACGCCTACGTACATTGCGGAAGGACCCCAATTTGCGACCCCTTTTATCAAAAGGCAGATGTGCTGTTTATGCATTTCCATTGCTCCCTTGGGCAAGGGTCAAGATTGTGTATGTTGAAGTGAAAGTGTTGTCGTGCCCCAGGGGGCCAGCAATTACATACACCCAACATGCAGCCTTGTTGCCTTGGCTCAGGGTGTGATGTCAAGATTAATTCTGAGTCCATGTTCCAATACGTAATACGTACACTCAATTCTCATGGAGCACTTGACTGGCATCCTGTTCACCACTTTGATTGTGGCTTCTCGCATTGCAGGCCCGAGTTTTTCTCTTCTTTGCAGCCCTGGCAGCGCTGCTAGTCAGGCCGTGGACTGTTTAGGAGGGGCACGAGAGGTTGGGTCACGCTGCACAAAGCGATGCACAAACGAGTTATGCTTATCCAAGTGGTCCATCAATGTGCAAGACGCAAGCTGCCTCCACTTGCTGGTGCTCAGTGGGATTGCCTTAGAGGAAACCACGAGGGATTGTTTACAGGGGTCATTCCATGTCTCCTTCCCTGCCTATCACACCAAGTGCACGCACCGCTTGCATTGAGCACTCCAGATCCCATGACTGGACCCGGAGCTTCGTGGCAGCGTCCGCGGCTCAAATTTTTCCGACGTCAGCTGAAGGTCGGGCGGGGTGCATTTTTTTATTTTATTTTTTCCCAGGCCCGGTGTGGCGAAGGAGCAGAGCCGAGCTCTGACCGTGAAGTCCCAGGCCACAAGGGCTGATGTTGACCCCAGATGTTGATCCCGGGTTGATTTTGAGTGGGGGGTGTCCCATGTTCGTGGGGATTCAGACCACTTCTGGAAAGAATGTTTTTAATAATAGGACGGGTTGATTAATTCGGGGTCAGCATTCAACAGCAAGTGTTTGAAGAGTGGTCACTATATTTCGCCTGGTCAGCCCGTTTGATCACCTCTTGGGCACTTTTACACGAGTTTCGTTCAGCGAGTTCCGAGTTTCCCTGAGCATTGTGCCCGTTGGCTTCCAAACTCAAGATAGCCAACCAAGAAACAGGGTTCCGTTCGCGCACCCCCCAACTGGGCTTAAGGGTAGGCTCAGGGTAGGATCATGCTCAGGTTCGGTGGGTAACGTACTTTGGATTGGCGACAGTCCAGATTCGTCAGCCGGGTCCATTCTTATTGTGGCGCAAAATCGGTCAAGCAAAAATCCTCTTCTGAATGACCACTTTCCTCTTGATTTCATTGGAGAGCCACCATCACAGGGAGTTGCCAATCTTGACAACTATATGCGCACAATGTGACGAGACGTGGCCGGAGGCTTGGCCAGTGGAGTAGGCCTGCAGCTGGATTTCATGTTTCCAAAACTGGGCCAGGACCCATTTTCAGGGGTCCCAACACCCGTGCACTTCAGTGTGGTTTGGTTTACAAGGCTTGCAGATGCTGGTGTCCGCAACTGTTGACCAGCCCGCGACCAAGCGCCACACATTTTGGTTGCCTGGATTTACAATCACCGTGCTTGTGATTTGCTTGGTCACTGCACAAGTGGTTCCTTGAATGTGGCTTTCCTTTGGCTGACTGCACTTTACCTTTCACTTGCTTTGACCCTAGAAATTGGTTTCCCGTCATGCTCATCCACCTGTGTCCAAACGCCATCCAATTCTCTCTGTGTTTTTGCCCATTCTTTTCTAGAAAGGATTCATCAGCATGATGTGGATGTAAGGTCCGGGTTTTGGGAACGATGATGCTTGCCAGAAGCACTGCTATCAAACTGCTACTTGAGGAGCATGATCAATGTTTAGTACATGGCCACCTTTGCTTTTGAACTGTTTTTCGAGTATGTGACGCTTCAAATGGGTGTTTCCTCGTTGCCTCCTGTACTTGCTTTAGGAATGCCGTGCAAGACAGATGCTCAGCTGGTCGCATAGACCCTAGGGCGGTTGTGTTGTCGTTTATGCATCGGCGTTTTTGACATAATGTTAATTAGTCATGTCAATTAGTGCCTGGATTTGGTATTTGGAGTTGTGAGCTGGAAGTGGCGACATTGATCATAGAGGTTGTCGGATTTCGTGGATTGGATTGGGTCTTCAGATGGATGAGCGAGTCAATTTTCAAGACACATTATGACAGCTGATTTAGGAGCAATTGTCCTGCGGGAAGGCAAACATGCGTTTTACCTGGCATGCCACATCCAAGCAACCAGCCATACTGAATCAAGAGGACGTAGCCACGTGCTCCTACGTGCCCAGTAAGGACTAACTGGTCGGGGCGAGGGTTTTCAGCAGCCAAATGCCGCCAGGCAGATGACTGGTACATGATGCCCCTGGGCGTGCCTAAGGCCGCGTCGATTTAGATGGCCGTTCTGCGACAATGGATTCCCCTTTGAACCGAAGTCATGTTGGCCTACTTTGGTACAACAAAGCACAAGCATGGACCAGGGATTGAAGAAATGGTGGGCGGTTGGACAAAATGGACATCTTTTTGAGTGTTTCAAGATAAGAATAGAAAGTTGCAGTCACCTATTTCAGGCCCTCAGGACACCCAAGCCATTGTCCCCAGAAGCACATGCAGTCGGGTTGCCATGTTGCACAGAGCGGCTGCTTGGCATTCGAGACCTTGTGCTTTGGCCCCGCAGGTAGCATACCGAATTCCAGGCGCGCCGAACGCAGAATGGGTCAAAGCCTCAGGATCTCAGAGCCCTCAGTTGCAAACGGCAGCGCCATTCGGCGCAAGAGTTGATGTTGACATCATAGAGCTGTATGCTGTGTCCGGACCAGTCAACTGGCTGTTTGCCGAAATAAAGAGTGGTTGTCAGTCATGCGCTATATCGTCTATCATGTGGCTGGAGAAGCAAAGCCTTTCTCAGCCAAGCTGGGCTGCGCCTGCCAGCGTGCTGACATTGACCAAGAAAACTTGTGATGATGTTTCTTGATTCAGAGAAGTGCTGGTGCTTCATGGAAGTGTAAATTATTTAAGCAGGGCTCATAGGCGGCATATTGGCCATTTGTTAGGCACTCACAACGCTCGCATAGTTCCAGTGGTAAGCGCCCCGTTTCCAAGGTCGACATCTACAACAGGCTGTATCGAGAGAGCCATGCTGGCCAGATTTTGAGATCCGCTACTTCTTTATAGCACTTGAACCATTTGCCGCGGACCATGACGTCGAAGCCTCCTGTTGCTCTATGCGTGGCAGGAATTATTTTCATCGGCAAGGAGATTGACGACAAGCTGGCAAATGAGGTCATTGGTGTTTTGCCAGCTTCTTAGTGGCAGAGCAGCAGAGCAGCTGTTGGCTTCATGTTGACGAGGTTATACTTGGACTCTGAGGCGCGTAATGATGGGGCGGGTGGGTTGTTTGCCTGCGGCGTGGACCCTTTGATCAGGACAGCAACAAGCCAATCTACTTGTACATCAACAGCGCTGGCGGATCGGTCATTTCTGGTTTGTCCATCTATGACACCATGCAGACGGGGACTCAGCATGCGGATTGTCTCTCCCCTCTCTCTCTCTCCCCCTCTCTCTCTCTCTCACTCTCTCTCTCTCTCTCTCTCCCTCTCTCTCTCTCACTCTCTCTCTAGAGACCAGATGAACAAGAGATCACTGACTAGAGACCAGCGCATGGATGCAAGGCACATCAAGTCACCTGTCATTACCATCAACGTTGGTGCCGCTCTCAGGTCTGCGCATACATGCTTGCAGGGAAGCCACTCGGAGGAACCTTGTTACATCCATGGTTTCCTCCTGGTTTTACTCAGCCTCAAAAGGGATACCCTCCCAACAGACATGGAACCTGACCTTTTGCAGAAGGAGGCACCCTGAAAGTGGTACCCTCATAGAAGCAACCACCGCCGTATAATCAGGTAACCCCTCCCTCAATTGGTGGCCTGGATAGGTGGTTTGGAGTTTTGAACCCCTGGTTCTTCTGGAGAGTAAATGGGCGACGCCTCCTTAACCACCAACCTATCCAAACCACGAAGCTGATATAAGACACCCAAACAAAATTGGGGGTCCGTTTTTTCCTGTGGCCTCGAGGCCTTGCGGCCTCCATGGCCTCCTTCCTGCTGGCTGCAGGCGAGAAGGGCAAGCGAGCCTCGGCAGGAGCCGGATGGATCGACCCGGTTTCCCGGTGGATTCCGCCCCCTTTCCTTTTTTCGAGCTTTTGGTTTGGGGAAGGGTTCCCCTTCAAACAAAAAAAGACGCCCGTTTTTACCTGTTCATTAATATGAGGGTGTTCCGATCCAAACGAGGTGTGAATCCCCACTAGAAACCAGGGACCCCATCAACATTAAACCTTAAGGATTCACGCAGAACCCAAGCGGCCATATGTGTGCAGAGGAATCTGTTGAGGACCCTTCCTTCGGGGTTGGTGACCGGGTTGGCAGGTCAAATCATCAGGTCGTGCTTGTGTTGCTGCTTTTCTGTGCTCGAGAGATCTGAACAGGATCTGCAAGTTGGGTTTTCCTGTCCAATGACAAAGGAGCAGGGATATTCATTCTTAGCCTTGCCACGTCCTATTTCCGGGCGCCGCCTTGTGGCTTGCTCATAGAGTGGTTCTCAAGACGTGGGCCGAAACCGGCAGCCCAGGTTACATTGCCAAGCATGGAGGTCGGCTTGCTAGGTGCTTGGGTTTTGGGTAGACGATGGGTGTTTGGGCAGGTTGCTCGAATTTAGGGACCCCTTTTGGTTTCCCATTGAAAGAATCTGAACAAGGACTCCCCATTTTGAGAAACACCCACATAAAGACCATTGGCTCTCAAGGCCATGGCTGGATTCGCAGCTGAGGCATTGCTCTCCCCCACAGCCGCGTGCCGCTCCCAATGCTCGAAGGGTCCCAAATTGAAATTCAGACCCCTGTGTGTTTGTTCTCTTTTTAAGGGTGCCCCTTTTTGTGGCTTTCAAAAGGGAAACCAAAGGGAAAACCATGATTTGGAGGGTCCCCTAAAAAAAGCACACACATACCCATAATGGCCCATAATTGATTTGTGCAGCCCGTTGAGCTTGCGCACGCTCCGGCTGAGACCATGATCCATCAAGCGATGGGTGGAGCGCAGGGACAAGCCGAGGACATCAAGGCGAGTTGACATGGCCGTGGTTGTCAGAACCAATGGGATCCCGTTTTGGTTGGTAGGTGAATTCACCACCCATTTTAGAACCTGTTTTAGTGGGGCTTGGGATGTTCACAGGGGGCATGGGATTTTGACCCATGGCCACATGGCAAATTGTCCAAACGCTGTTCAACAGTAATTAATCCTTAATCCTTACCTTCGGTTACGCAACGGGGTCCCTTTTGTGGCTTCCCAAGAAGGGATTATGGATTTGGATTGGCCAAGCCTCCATTTTGAACAGCCCAGCACATTGGGACCTCCAAGGGCGAAGCACCTCCAAGCACCTTGGGGGTGGTGACTTCTCTGTTGATTTTTCGCTGGCGACTTTCCATTTTGCTTCTCGAAGCATGGAATTTCCCTCGAGGCACCATCCGAAACGCCCCTGAGTGAAGGGCGCCCCAGCCCCGCGCGCAGCGCCAAACCCGAGCGGCCGCTTCGATATGGGTATGGGTTAAAATTAACCCGCCAGGGGACCGCGGGTTTTAGTCTTTGTGTCCATTTCCCGGCTTCCATTTTGGGTACCTATTTTTGACCCACACCCATATGCACACTCAAACAGTTGGGTTGTGTGGCACCGGAGGCGAGGCATTCATGAAGCAAAGTGTTGGTTTTGATCAAAGGAGCATTTGTTGCTCATCTGCGTCTTTCTTGAGGGTGTGTGGTTCTGTGTGTTAGGAGCCCACTTCAAAAGGCTGCCTCTCATTTGGGCGACTCGAATGACCAGGTAGAGGCGCAGCAGATTTTGCAGATCCACGAGAACATCGTGCGGTCCGCGCCTCGAGTTCTTCGCAGTGGGGGCCACAAAGTGGCACGCACAAATTCGTTCGCAGAGGTTCGTTTCCCAGGGACTCGACTTTGAAATCCCGTTTTGGCCGACTTGTTTGTGTGGGCAATGCCTGGAGCTCAGGATGTATGCCCAGAAGCCGGAGCCTGAGATGGCATGTGAGACGCCAACCTTGTCCCCCTTCTCGTTTTGAGGACGGGCCAGGACCAGGAGACGATTCGGAAGGACCTCATGCGGGACAACTTCATGTCAGCCGAGCAGGCGCGACGGCGCCGTTGCAACAAGTGCAGCATGTCCATGGCGTATGGCACCTGCAGGCGAAGGACTACGGCTTGATTGATCAGGCGAGGCCCTTTGCTTGCTCCAGCATGGGCGCGAGGCAGTGAGCTGCCGTATGTCACTATTAGGCATATGTTCGCATGGTTTTGGGCAAAAACGCGCATGGAGCTGGAGGAAGTACATAAGGGTAGGCCAAAATGAGGGCCTGAGAAGAGGGGGGCATGGGTTTCGCAGGACTTCCATTCCGCGCAAGCCCGATGCAAGATGGGCGTGCTAAGCCCGATGCAAGGTGATTCAGATTGCCGACACTTCCGACCTCAAGGTGCGCGGCGAGCGTGAAGATGGATATATGCCATCAAATAAGACTGATTTCGTTGGGCGGTTCATGAACATGCGCTTTTCGCTTTTCCTTCATTCACATTCCTGTACAGCAACACACAGATGCCTGTGGTCTTGAATGGCACAACCATTCAAGTGCGGTCATATGGCTGACTTTGTTGCGCCAGGCGGTCGCTGACAAGGTGAATGCGGAAGCACCAAAGGAGGGCCTTTCGTGTGTTACGCCAGGTTGCCGAGGGCTGATGGGGCTGATTGCTTCCTGTTGAATTGACAGCTTTCAGGCAGCTAATCATTGCAAGGATCAAGGATCAGGTGGCCACGGTTAGGTTCGGTTCGGTTCGGTTTCTGAAACCTTTTGCAAACCTTTCTCCGGTTAGTGGCGGTTACTCATAACCTTCCAAAACCTGCCGGTTTGCACGGTTAATGCAGAAAAGTAAGATAAGGCTCTAGGTAACTCAGTCTGCTTTCGCCCACACTTCGCCAACTTCCACATCTCTGGCATCGCCAGCCATCTGACATCGCCATCCCACACCACACACACACGCACACAGACACAACCACACGCACACAAACACACAAACAAACAAACAAACGAACCATGCCACTGACTGATGCTGAGCATTTTGTTCCGCGCACGTGGCCTTGGGAAGCATCTCTGCAGTCAAAGCTCAACAGCAAAACAAGTCACTGACCGCTCGTGGGCCGCTTTTTTTGCTTGCCAAATTTCAGCGGTGTTTCGTGTGTTGCGAGCACTGCGGAAGCAACAATCAGAACCAGAAGCGGCCAAGAATGCTGGTTTGTTGCCTTGACGCGTGCAGCAAGGGGGCCTCAGCTGCAGTGGCCTGCTAAGCGTGCCAAAAGCTCTGGCAATCAGGCTGGTCAATTGTTGGGGAACGGCAGGACAGGCCCGGGGCAAGGCGGCAAGGCGCCGGGAGAGCAAGCCGTGCCACTGACAGCGGGCAACTCAGTTTTCCTCCCGTTCGGCCCGCGAGAAACTGTTCCAATCCAAGCCGGGCCGCGCAAAAAAAAGCCACCCACTGACCATCAGTGAGTTGTTTTTTTCGCGCTGCTGGTGCAGCCAGGCTGCAACAGGGTGCTCGGGCAATCCTGCGGGAGCAGGGGGAGTTGGCGAGACACGTTGATGCTCGGACGCGTGGCCATTCCGGCAGTTCAGGAAAATTTTGCGGGTTCAGCCGCTTTGGAACGGGATCCTGTGGCGGCGCTGTTGGCGATGCTGTCTGCGGTCAAAGCCGAGCAGACCAAAAAAACAAGTCACTGACCGCTCGTGGGCCGCTTTTTTCGCTTGCCAAATTTCAGCGGTGTTTCGTGTGTTGTGAGCACTGCGGAAGCATAAATCAGAACCAGAAGCGGCCAATAATGCTGGTTTGTTGCCTTGACGCTTGCTGCCCCTGCAAACCTGGGGACGGTTCGGTTTCTGTTCGCTTCGGTTCGGTTCGGTTTGTGGTTTGTTTCCGGTTTTCTTGGTTTCCGGTTCGGTTTTCAACCTTCCTGAAGGATCCCTGAAGAGGCCAGAACTTCAGAACTTGCAGAGTCCTGTTCATGACACACATCAGAGGCTGGCAAAGTGATATACAAGGCGGTCAGCATCACTGCTTCATGTGAGCTGCGAAGAACTTGCGGATGCATTATGGGTAGGCCGATTTCACACCGGGTTTTCATTGTGACTCATCCAATTTTTGCCATGGCAAGATTTGGTGCAAAGTTTGGTCCCCTTCACAGCCTATGCTGGTGAATATTGGCTCAAAACATGCCACTGCAATCAGAACCGGTCTGCAGGTTTCAGACGTCGTGAAAACATCACTCACAATTCTCTAACTATGTAAAGAAGTACCAAGGCGGCTGCACCCATTTGTGGCTGGGATTGTCCCTTACTAACCTTCAGTTTTGATTGTGGCTCAGATCACTCCATTTGCAGATGGCTTGCCTTGAGGCTTGCTTCCTCGGGCAACAGCTTTCCGGTCCCAAGCAAAATTACCAAACTACCATCCCCAAGCATGTTCTGGGCTATCATCTCTGCCTTCGGTGTGTGTGGCCCCCCCCCCCCCTGGTTCACGAGTTTCCTCGGGCTAAGCTTTGAAATCAATGCCCAAAGAGAACTGTTAACAAACTCTTGGCATCGTTTGTCATGACTTGCTATGTACCCTCGAGTACCCCACTTCCTGCCAACCTTTGGGTTAGAACTTCCATTTGCTGATTTGAGCATGTTTTATTTTCCCCTGCTTTCTAAAGGAAAGGGCTCGTCTATGACTACTGGACATATTTTCTCACTTTTCCCGGGCGAAAGCGCTGCACTCAGCTTCGCAGGAGTCCGCTGCTCCGCCCTCGCCGCCGCCAGAGGTGCCTGACAAGGCTCCAGATGGCGACGAGGACGCGGAACAAGTCCCCCCCAAAACTGCGCATGTGGCGGGTCAAGAATCGGGTCGACATCGGGGCGTGCATTGTCCGGCTTCATGGAACCAAATGTACGCCAAAGTGGGCAATGCCCAAAGAATAGGGTAACCCCAACATGGCTTGCCCTGGCAAATGGAACCGAGTGATTTGATTTCGAGCCATGCCCAGGTGTAGTTGAATCAATGAGGTCCACCAAATGGTCTCCAGTTCGGACTTCATCCCCATGTCGGTGTTGCGTTGTTTGATGAAAAAAATACGGCGCAGTTATTTTTGTTTGAGGGTGTGTATCAGAGCCGCGGCGGATACGTGCTATATACCCCGCGCAACGAGACCTCGAAGACCTGTTGGCTCATTCCACACCCTCGTTACATACCTTCGTTACACACCTTCGTTACATACCTTTTTGCATACCTCACATGAACAATAAACCACCTGGCTAGTTACATAACCTCTCGTTGCATACCCAGATGCATACCCAGACTCTGATATTGATCATGCTTGATCATATTAGTGCGGATTCGTATTCATGACATTGGCGACATTGATGATTGCTAGCCTTGTTATTATATGTGCTATTGATGACGTTGATATATGGATGATACTGATGGTAGCGATAATTGACATTAATGAGTTCCATGAAGTTGATATTGACGATGTTGATGACGATGATGTTTCTGATAATGATGATAGTGATGATGCCGATACCGTCGTTGTACTCCAGGTTCTGTTTGGAGGCGACGGACGGGTCGGCGTCTGGTTTACTCTTGGATTTTGCTAGCCGCTTGTAGCATCCCTTGACGCAGGAGGATGTCCAGCCGGTCATGTGAGGGCAGTTTGCTGGTTTGGAGTAGTGTTTCACTCCCCGCGCGTTTTGGTGCCACGGGTTTGCGGCTGCGGCTTATGCGCCTCGCCATCAGAGGCGATTGGCTGGTCATCTTAAAACCCACTGCAATAACATATTGTACCATTGCACATCCTTCAACCAGCATCTCTATGTTTTCTTTCGCGTTTGATTGATTGTTTGCTAGATCCAGTTGCAGAAATGTTCACGACCTCAGGGGGTGCAGGGCAAAACGGATGAAGTGCAGGTGCAGGCGCGCTCAGACGGGCGCTGCGGGTTAGAAATCAAGAAAGAGGAAAGACAGTGTCATTTGTAGATTTGGCATGTCGCTGACGGAAGAGTCTACCTTCTCTGTGCGAAACGATGCACTTCACCCGGCCCAATTTTAGGCCAGGCTGTTGCAAGCAGTATGGGCGAAAGCTACTGCTTGCTCTTAGAGAGTCAAGATAAGGCAGATGCAAAACTGTTTGGCAGATGGCAGCTGGAGGACTGGAGCGGAGCACTAAGTTCTGTTCCAGGTTGTCAATCAAAAGGTGGCAGTGGCAAAGTGGCGCAGGAGCTGATTGGGGGGCTGGGGTCTGCAGAGTTTGCATCCTCACTGAGCTTCGGCGTCAGAGCTGCACCTGTTGGTCAAGTGGTGTTTGCGCCAAGGTGTGGTTTTCCCTGACAAATAGGGCCACAAGAAGCGATTGGTGTTTTCGCCAAGTTGCTGTTGAAATTCATCATGCCGAAAACGACAAGATAAACACTGGCTGATTCCTGCTGAGTCCGGCTCTCCCATGTTGGGTAAAGTTCTCATGGATTGGCTTGACTTTTGATTTTGATCACCTCATGTGACGTTGTTTTCTTGTTAAATGATCTTGCGCCCTCATGTCACAGGCGGAGTCTGAAGCACTGCGCAGAAGTGTTTCTCAAGCTTTGCGGTCCTTGCGCTGGAGAGAGAGGCCGAGCCCTCAGGGCCGAGCCGGGCAAGGTGGGCCGTTCTGGGCTTGTCGGAGGGACCCCACTCTATCCGAATAATCGGTAGAATCGAACTTTGCAATCTTTTGACCATTTCAAGTGGTCTTCCCTGAACTGGTGACCCTGGTGGGACCCCCTTGTGAACTCTGATCATTGGCCGAAGGTGGTTTACGATCATCGGCGGTTGGCCCGACACGACCAAACAGGCAGACAGACAAACACGTAGGGTGTCTTTTTTAGGTGGACCCCCCCAAAATGGTGGCTTTCGTTTTTGAACTCCCTGTAAAAACCACCCAAAACGGGGTGCCGTCCAAAACAAACACTCCCAAGTGTTTCTATCACAAAAGTGCCTGCGTGCCTGCTCGAAAGCTCATAGATCGCTGGGGTTCTGCACTATCCCCAAGCTGAAACCGAGGATGCAGCACCCTGAAACCCACCAAGCCAGCATCCCTCGAAGCCCTGAAGCTGACCAATGCCAGGCCTAAGCTAAAACACGTTCCAAAGCGATCTCTGCCTACTGGCCAAGTTGCCCTTGGCCGAATCAGCTTTAGGTCGGTCAAAGCAGCCCAAAGCCAATTGAAAGCCCTCCTTCATCCCAAACAGACCCTAGTTCCTTCCTAAACTCTCGGACCACCTTAGCCTCATCGTGTTTGGTTTCGATGAAGACGTGGGGGATTTCTCAGGCCCGTCGGATTTATGTTTTGCGTGTTGCGACTGCAGGGTTTGACATTTCGAGCTTTCAAGGGTGTACAGGGCCAAGGCCTCAGACAGGTTGCACTTATGGGCGCAGTCCTCGCGAAGATCTGGCAGCGGATGGTTGGGAACCAGGAGATGCGGATTCTGATGCTGGGGCTTGATGCCGCCGGCAAGACCACGATCCTGTACAAGTTGAAGCTGGGTGAAGTGGTGACCACTATCCCAACCATTGGCTTCAACGTAGAAACCGTGGAGTGGAAGAACATCAACTTTACGGTTTGGGACGTGGGTGGCCAGGACATTGTGCGCAGAACAATTCTGAATGTTGCCTCGCAAAAGGGGGCCGATGTGAATAGGGCCGCGGTGAAATCCTTTTGCAAACCTGGGGAGCCTAGAAACAGTGTTCGTCACAGAAGAGGATTCAGCCTTAGGAGGGACTGACTAAACAAGCGGGGCATGTGGGTGTGGCTCAAAGAAACAAAGAGCCAGGGTTACGCAGGTCATCTTTGGTTCCATTTACCAAGGTGCCATGTTGGTACATCTTTTTGAGCTGGAGAGCCGTTGAGGACAAGATTCGGCAGCTCTGGCGGTACTACTTTCAAGGTACGGATGGCCTCATCTACGTGGTGGACAGCTCAGATCACGACCGCATCCATGAGGCCAAGGCGGAGTCTCAGTTGTTCAGTGACACCAATTCTTGTTCCCTTTTTGTTTGGTGCGTGCCCCACTAAACATGGTTTTCCCCAAAAAGGGTTCCCTTTTTTTCCAGGGCCGCTGAACTGAGGAGTTGCAGAAGATGCTGGCAGAAGAGGAGTTGGAGAAGGCGGCGGTGCTGGTGCTGGCCAACAAGCAAGACTTGCCCAACGCCATGTCATCAAGCGAGGTGATGGAAAAGCTGGAGTTGCAATCCTTGCGACACCGGAAATGGTTCATCCAGGCTACCTGCGCTCCCACGGGCGACGGTCTCTATGAAGGCTTGGACTGGCTGTCACGCGCCTTAAGCACAAAAAAGTAGTTCTGACGGCCAACCATTACAGGGCGCCTTTCGTACTTCGACGAAGCCGCACGCTTAGTTTTGCCGCCCCCGCGGGAGTTTTGGGCCTATGCAGCCTCGCTCAGAGTGAGGAGGGCCCCGTGTGAGAGCTTCGCCAAAGGCAGCTTAAGTGTACAGATGCCAGATGCCTCATAGACGCCGAAGCTCACAAATGCGAGAAGGCATGCTTAGGGCTTTGTGGCTGAAGATGATTGCACATGAGCAATCACAACCTCGATCCATGAAGATGTGTGAGGGGTGCGGCCGCCCTTTGAATTCTGTAAATCAGGTAGACCCCCCCTCTATTGGGTAACATATTTTATTATGACTGGCATGAAAGGAGTGCTTTGGATCAGGGACCGACGTCTCAGTGAGTGCGTGTAGAGACTTGGATACGCACATGGGGTGCAGTTGGATTGCTTCAAGCAACTTTCATGTTCTGCTCAACAATCAAGATCCGTTTGTTCAGCTGCGGTGGGAATTTGCCAGTTTGCCCGAAGGCAATGTTTGGATGCACGATCCGGTTAGCATTTCGGCGATGTGCGTGCACTTGTTGCGTTCACTATAGATTTGGCTCCTCGGTGTTTTGCTTTTTCATGCACACCATGGGCACGGAGTTGCGTTTCTTAGATGGGTCCCCCTCTCGCCATTCAGCGGGACCCTTCAACGCTGGCGTTTGACGTTGAGGGCTGGGTTGTTTCACGCAAATGGTTCGGCCCTGGTCCGAGTTTAAGTGCCCTGCTTTTTGGCGCTTCAACTTCTGAATAACACTGTCTCGCAAGTTTGTGGCGTATCCCCCATTCCGAGGATCGCTGCGCAATATCCAGACTTGGGCAGACCTGTCATTGGACACTCGACTAGATCCGTTGAGCGTCTACCAGTCAGCATCTGTCCTTCTGCATACTGGAGGTGTATCCTTCATCGTTTATCTTGCACCCTCCAAACGCACGCCGAGGTGTGTCAGGGCTCCCTAGTGCCCACCAGCGAGTATAAACGCAACCAGCTTCGTCTTCACTGACCCCACGAAATGTCTCAGGCGGCAATGGCCCAAGGCCGTGCGCGGCACCGTTCACGACTTGGGACTCCTGTTGACTGGGTCGGATCTTTTTGCCGCGGCCCGAATGAAGTATGACCACTCACCAAAAGACACCACCCACTAGACCCCCCTGGTTGCGAATCGGTTTTGATGGGACTAATGATCACTTTGTAATCTGGGAAGTTACCAGTTTACAATTGTTATCTTTTCATGAAAGCGATGCTCGTGGCTTGTTTCCTTGGGCCTTGTGGGCGCCCAATTGCAGGCATCGCTTAACGTCAAGTTTAGACTGTCGTCATGTATCATGTTGTTGTCACAACCAGGTCTGCTCAACTGGTTGCATGGTTCCCCTTCGGGGAAACTCCAGGAAAGTGCAACGTAGTGCCCGTCACGATCTTCTGTTCTTCACGTAGCCATTGGCAGTGCATTGAAACCTCCGGGCGGTTTTTGGCCAACTGACCCCTGCGCTGCGCGGCATGGGTAAATGGTTCAAGCTTGGTTGCTCGAAATTTTCAACGGAGGGATTTGTGTGGCTTTGGTAAGAGCTGCGTTGAGTCGTTACCAGTGCTCATTGGACGTGGCTTACGTTTGCCTTATCGAGCAGCTGCGGTATGCACTGGCAGGCAGGTCCAATTGGCTCGGCATGGAGCAAGATCAGAACTGAGCGGCGAAGATCGAAATCGGTTTGTGGTTTCTGGTTTGGTGCGAAAGACATTCGATGCAGAGGTTGTTGCGGCAGACCGGGGGCTGAGAGCAAAGAATCGTCCCAAGAGGCGACACCGCACGAGAGCACAAGAGCAAATTCGGGAAAAGATGGTGCGAGCCACAGATGGCCAGACATGATTCTTCCAGGGAGGTCATGCTGTAGCACAGCTGACCCCAGGAAAGTGCCGAACCATGTGCACATTTCTTGGGACTCGCTCACGGCTTCTCCCAGGACCAGCTTGCACCAGCGAGTTCTTCTTGCTGGTGATACGGGAATGAGAACTGGAAAGACCCCTGTGAACCATTATGAACCATCAAACTGGTGGTTTCCTTTATTCGGAAATCCCAAAACGGCCAATTCCCTCATTCTCTACGTATCGCACCACCGAGTTCTTGTCTCCGCGGCTGTTTCTCAGCGAGCTCCGGGAAGTGAGGCTACGGCAGTTCTCAGCCATGAAGCGCGGCATGGAAGGCCGGGACCGTCGGTCAAAGGGCAGGGAGGAGTGTAAGGGGGACCTGCATTCGGAGTGGGAAGTGGTTTGTTCTGTACATTTCTCTTCTGCTATTGGGTTGGATCTTTAGACTTTAACTTTTTGGATTCGATTCCCCTCATATGTCCTTTTAACCAGCAAAAAAATAAGCTTTTTGCTGGGGGATCTACAGCACCCAAGATTTGTTGGATCAGATGTTTGAACTATGTGCACCCAGGACATGCTAGGGAGTATGCAATTTCCTGGGTCCTTTGGCAGTTTTTCGCAGTCTTGAGCCTTGGGCTGCCAAGTTCTCTGTCTTTCCCATTCTTGCTTGTTCTTAGTAGGGAATACGGGGATGATCCACTTACATCAATAAATTGATTCTTGTAGGATTTCGCCCTCCCGCGTTTCCTCGAAATGTGCACCGTCTCTATACATATTAAAAACATACATTACATTACAATACATTGCATTGCAAAGCAATACCACACGATACATTACATTACATTGCAGAACCATACAGAGCACTACAGTACGCTACAATAAAACGCAGCACAATGCATACATACATGCATACATGCGTACATCCATCCATCCATACATACATTCATACATCCAGCCATCCATTCATACATGCATCCATGCATCCGTCCGTCCATCCATCCATCCATCCATCCATCCATCCATCCATCCATCCATACATACATACATACACCATCCATCCAGAAATCCATCCATCCATCCATCCATCCATACATACATACATACATACATACATACATACACGCATACATACATACACGCGTACATCCATCCATCTATACCTCCACCCATCCATCGATACATACATACATGCACACATACATCCATACACACATACATACATACATACATTGATACATACAGACATACCGACATCCCATACATCCCATACATACATACATGCACACATACATCCATACATCCATACATCCATACATACACCCATAAATCAATCCGTCCGTACATGCATACATACATACATGCAGGTATACATCCATCCATCCATCCATCTATACATACCTACCTACATACATATATACATACATGCATACCTACATACATGCATGCATACATACATGCATGCATACATACCTACATGCATACATATACATATATATATATATAACCATATATATATATACATATACCTACATGCATGCATACATACATGCATACATACATGCAGGCATACATACATACATACATACATGCATGCATACTGTCATGCATACCCACATGTATGCATACATACATACCTACATACATACATGCATGCATACATTCATACATACCTACACGCATGCATGCATACATCCATACATACCTACATGTATGCATACATGCATGCATGCATGCATACATACATATATACCTACATGCATGTATGCATGCATGCATACATACATACCTACGTGCATGCTTGCATGCTTACATACATACTTGTATGCATACATACATACATGCATGCCATACATACATACGTGCATGCATGCATGCATACATGCACACATACATTCATACCTACATGCATGCATACATACATGCATGCATACATACATACCTACATGCATTCATACATACATACATACACACATACATACCTACATGTATGCATACATACATGCATACATACTTACATACCTACATGCATGCTTGCATGCATACATACATTAAACACACAAAACCATACATACACATCATACATACACATCATATCATATGCTGGGTCGTTTAAAAGAAACACATAGTATACACACATTGCACACGTCCAATTGGAGTCTGTGGAGTCCAGGCCGTGGCCCCCCGCCCAAGCGCGGCCGCGGGCCGCCGGTGGGCGCCGGCCGCTGCGCCTTCAAGGCGCGCGGGGACGGTGTTTGTTGGGCCCCCGGCGGTTTTGGTGTTTCTTGTGGCCAGTGTGGTAAACTAATGAGGCCAGTGTGGGGAGCCATCTTGGGGCCTTGAGGAGGCTTGTGTATGTGTGAGTGCGTTTCTTTTATTATTATTATTGTTATTAGTGTTTTTATTCTCTCTTTTTTGGCGGGGGGGGGAAGGGGCGGGGGAACCGTCGGAGCCATTTTGGGGAAGGGAGCCCTTTTGTTTTGTATTTCGGGGGGCATTTTAGGGTTTGGTTTTGTGAGTTGGTGTGATAGTTTCGAATTTTGGGAGATGTTAAGTTGGAAGCAATAGGAATCGCGTGTGATAGTTTGGAAGGGTCCTATTCTATTCTTGACCCACTGTCACATGAGCTGGTTTCAAAAAGGACCATTGTTTCACAACAAGCGACTCAGCATGAACAAATGACTTGTGCGAAAAATGGAGCCCCGATCATTCAAGGACAGTTTCAATGTCAACTGATATTGCGAATAGCGATTGAAGCCTTTCCTTTCAGGGAGGGTTGTGATTTGGGACATCCCACATGTGACAAGGTCTGTAGGAGGGTGGTTACTTGGGGGGGGATGGGCAGCAACCTGCTGAAAGCGGGGGGAATCAGTCGACTGGGGGGTACCTGGAAAAGACTCCCCCACAAGAAGCTTGGCACAACAAGGCAGGGCATGGCATCATGGGCTTGCGCAAAGTCGAAGTACATTCACGGGCGAACCTGCAGGATGCCTTGCGCTGTGGTTCTTTCATGCATCTTCCAGGGAGATCCAAACCATCCGGGCAAGCCTTGGTGTGGCCAATGGCTGCATTGGGAGCCGAAACTAGAAGCTTCAGACAGACACAGATATTGCTCGCACCTGTGGCCATGAAGCATGAGTTTGCATGTCGTTTGCCTGGCTGCTGTGGAGGGCATTTACAGTGAGGGACGAGCAGCTCGAATATGAAGATACAATATTGTTCGGGTCGATTTGGCAGGTAAAACACCGCCTGTGCACGGGATCTGACGGTTAGAACATGCCTCGGGATTTGACATTGCACCTGCCTCACCTGCCACATCCATCAGATGTTTTTGGGGCCTACAGCAAGCCTGGCCTTTTGCTGCCGGTTTCTGAAGAGCCGCGAGGTTTCGGATTTTTTTTGTGGCAGGGGAAAGGGGTGGCGTGGTAATGGTTTGACTTGGTGACCAAACACTATCCCAGGCGATCGAAGCACGTACGGTGAATAGAGAGGAGTCTGAGATGCTTGGAACGCTAATGTTGTATCTGCCTGGCAGACCATCTCGCAGCACGGTTCGAGTAAACCAAGCAACTCGCCACAGCCGGGAGGCGGAAGTTTCAAAAGTAGACGAACTATGGTTTGGAGTAAGCTGCTTTTTCTTTCTTCTTTTTATTATTCCCTTTCTCATCCTCTTTATGTCTTTTCTCTTTCCTCCGGTTTATGTCTTCCCTTTTCTGTATTGTGTTCCCTGTTTCTTCCTCTTTTCCCTTTTTCTTTCTTCCAGGTGTCCTTTCTCTTTTTTCTGGTTTTCCGTCTTCCCTTTTTCTGTCTTCCCTATTTCTTTCTTGCCTTTCTCTTCCTCTTTATTCCCTTTCACTTTCTTCCGGTTTTCCGTCTTCCCTTTTTCCGTCTTCCCTTTTTCTTCCTCTTTGTCTCTTTCTTGTCTTCCAGTTGTCTGTCTCACTTTCTTCTGGTTTTCTGTGTTCCCTCGTTTCATCTTCCCTTTCTCTTCCTCTTGATTTTCTTTCTCTTGCTTCGGCAAGACATCACGAGTTTTGGAAGGTTGACCCACCGAAAGTCGGCAGAGAGTTCACCTTTTGACGCTTTGTGTAGGCTGAACAACTCAAACAACAGGACAAATACTCGAGGCGGACCCCCGAAAGTGCTTTGCATTTGCCTCCGGACATCGATCTCGACCGAGGTGATGCATGCATTTCTTGGCGAGAGCCAACCTCCACTAGTTTCAGTACTGCGGAAGTTCTTGTTAAAAGTCCTTTGGCCAACAAGCAAACGAGCGAAATTGAGAGGTGGTCCAATTCCTATGAGACATCAAAAAGTCCACGAGAAACTTGCAAGATTCCGACTCACTGGTGGGTTTCCACTCGCCCCAATCGCCGGTTGTTTCATTCTGACGCACCGTTCGGAATCATCCTTTCTCCCAATCGCCAGTTTTGATTCTGCCGCACCGCTCGGTTTGATAAGAAAGAAAAAGAGAAAACAATCCTTTCCCCCTGACGAAGTTCTGATTCTGACGCACCGGGGCTTGAAAAAGAAACACTCACTGGTGGTTTTGATTCTGACTCACTGGTGGGTTTCCACCGCCAGTTTTGATTCTGACGCCCCGGGGTTTGAAAAAGAAACAGAAAGTGTTCCCCTGACAAAGGCTTGATTCTGACGCACCGTTCGGTTTGAGAAACAAAACACCTGGCTCGCTGGGGTGTAAATCAATAATAATAATAATAATAATAATAATAATAATAATAATAATAATAATAATAATAATAATAATAATAATAACAACAATAACAATAATAATAATAACAATAATAATAATAATAATAATAATAATAATAATAATAATAATAATAATAATAATAATAATAATAATAATAATAATAATAATAATAATAATAATAATAATAACAATAATAATAATAATAATAATAATAATAATAATAATAATAATAATAATAATAAATATAAATAATAATAATAATAAATATAAATAATAATAATAATAATAATAATAATAATAATAATAATAATAATAATAATAATAATAATAATAATAATAATAATAATAATAATAATAATAATAATAATAATAATAATAATAATAATAATAATAATAATAATAATAATAATAATAATAATAATAATAATAACAATAACAATAATAATAATAACAATAATAATAATAATAATAATAATAATAATAGTAATAATAATAATTAATAATAATAATAATTAATAAAAACAGAACAAAAAGAGCAAAACAGAAGAAACAAAAAGCAAAGCGCCCGGCAGGTTTTGTGCCCAGACAGCCTGGTGGCCGCAGTGCTGGGCCCTAACGGCCAGGCTGCCGGGCAGCCCAGGGCGCCAGGGATCGATTGGTTGGGGGAAGATCAGCTGTCAGTTTTTCAGCAAAACATGAGACTGTCAGTTGTTGGCCAAAAAACGAGGTCAACTGGCAGTTCTTGAGCAAAAAGGAGATCAACTGTCTAGATTCGTAGTTTTCCCGAGAATGTGGTTGTGGTCCGTGAATTTGTTGGCCAAAAAGGCGATCCATTGAAAGATGGACCCAGGTGAGGTTTGTTAGAAGCCCCTTTTCGAGATCTGATGCACGAAATCGCAATTGCCCTTAAACTGGCAGCCCGCGACTTGCGCAATTCTGAACAATGGCCAGATCCATGGGCAGCTGGCATGCAATCCAACTCAGGCCATCGAACCCATGAATAACCTCATGTTCCTTCCGGTTCCTTCCGGTTCCTTCTGGTGATTCTCAGGATGGCAAGGCAGTGCCCTTGCTTCGAGAATCCTTTCAACACCAAAGAATGCCATGCACAGAAAGATGCCAAGTGAAACATGGAATTGCGCAGCGAAACATCACTTTGGCAGATTTGAGACAAGCTCGAATTGGGTGAGCACCATGCAATGGCAAATTCCGGTGTTTTCCAAGCCTGGGTTCCGTCGGATCTCCTTATGTCTCTCAGGTGGCTCAAGTACAAGAGCAGTCAGGCGCGGCCGATGCCAATTTGTTTGGAGTGTTTTGGTGGGGGTACCCTTCAAGAGTGGTTGGTGGATTGGTGCGGGACACCCTTTTGTGGGTTTAAAGGGAAACCGGAACGAAAACCGCCCTTTTCCGGGCGGGCGGGGTCCCCTAAAAAAGGACACACGTCAAAACCAATGGGATCCCATTTTTGGTTGGTAGGTGTTTTCACCTCCCATTTTAGAACCAATTTCAGTGGTTGGATTGAATCGGATGTTCACTGCTGGGTACGATTTGGCTACCGACCCATGACCAGTTGGCTCGCCCTTCACATGAGTCGCAAGCTCTGAGCTGTCGGCTCTTCTTGTTCCCACGACCGGGGCGCCCTCCTGGGCGCCCAGTGGGCGCCCAGGAGGGCACAAAATTTGACACCCGGGTCTGGACTGAACCATGGCTGTGGGTCAAAAATAGGGGCCCAAAATGGAACCCTGGTAAATGGACAAGTAGACTAAGACCTGCGTAACCCTGGGTCTTTATTTTTGAGCCACACCCACATGTCAACTCGTGGAAGCTCTTGTTCCGAATGCTTTGCTTACAGGATATCCAGGATAAACACCATCAAGCTGAAGGCCGCATTACTTCCATTTGATTCCTTCCATTTGGTTAAGAATATTTTGTTATTTTCCCCTGTTGGTTTTAAAGGGAATCTATCACTACTGGAAATATGTCTAGTTTTCCCAGGGGACTTAAGCAAATGGAGGATTAGAAAGGTCCTATGGATAAACATCAAGCTGGCGGCCGCATTAGCAAGGTCCCACCGGTTCCGATCGCACCAGGCTGCCACTGCAACTTCTCCCGCCGCGGTGAGTGCGCCCCAAGTGGGCGAACGATGGGAGACCAGAGACCCGAGCGGTTCACATCACTGGCGATGTTTTCAGTCGAGCATGTAAACAGCATTTAAGGGCGAGCGGAACATGTTTTTGTTTTCTTTGTTTTTCTTCTTTTTTTCTCTTTTTTCTTTTTTCGGAGCGTTATGTTTGGAAGCCGACATTTGGGCGAGCGGTTGTGATCATGTTTTATTTTCGGATCATCCTTGTGAGCATGACTTGGAGTAAATATGTTAGCTTGAGTGCATCCAACTCAGTGCGATATGCATGTGCTGGGTGTCAATCCTTGTCATGTGTCGCATTTCTCTGCCCATCGCGCTGCTTCATATCCTGATGCCTTCCTTTACGATTGTTCACCGTGCCAGAGCCTTTTAAGCGCCTGGTGGGGCAGGGATCAGGGCGAGGATTGGACCGTGAGGGGGGCGGGTCTAGTTGGAGACTCCGCACCACGTTCGTGTCAACAACCTTGCCCTCATTGTCGGCAAAGCAAGGTTGCAGGTTCGCTGAGCCTTGCAGTCAATGGTGGTATGTCTCGAAAGAGTAAGGATCTCCTTTTGCTTGCTTGTCAAGAGGGACACAATACCTAGCAAAGCTTTTGTGTTGTCCAGAAACACCTGCAAAAGTCGTTGCGTCCAGAGTTAGGAACCCACATTCTCTTTCTGAAAAGAAGTCTGACCCGACAAACTGTTATTCAGATTGAACGTGCTTGGACATGAGACAAGTATCCATGATGGGTAGTTCGATGGTCACTGGGTTCGGAGCCCAACGGCTGGTGGATACTTAGTGCAGTCGTGGAGGCTGCGCGGGCGCGTGGCGACGCCAGTCAGGTAACCCTTATAATTGGTAGTGTGGATTTGAACTGCTGGTTCTTGTTGCCGGTACATGGGAAACCCCTCCTTAACCACCAAACCACCGGGCAGAAACCTCCAACTCAGTTGTTCAGTGGCACCCTTGTTCCCATTTTTTGTGGCTTCCCCACTAAAAATGGTCTTCCCCAAAAGGGGTTCCTTTTTTTGAACAACTGAGCCACTTAGCAGCGAGCTGCGCCAGGTTCTTTCCCAACTCCAAGCTGCGAGTTCTCGTCGTCTCAGGAGAAGCGTCGCATCCCATCGCTTCGCGGCCTGTGGGTTTGGTCAAACTGCATGGATTGGGCATGAAGTTGCAGGGACCTGACATGGCGGACATCGGATTCATGTGAGCCAACATCAAAACCTGGGTAAGTGAAGGTTAGTAAGGGACGATCCCAGCCATAAATAGCTGCGGAATTCCGCCTTCTTAGTTCCTTACATGACTCTGGGTCGACCATTTTTGTACCTGGTTTTGATTGTGACTCATGTCCTGCCACTTGATTAATGCAGAACCATATTGTGGCTGGTCTGTGAGAGACGAACAGAATTCGAACCTCAGCTGCTGGTCAGAGGGACTAAACCTGGGGAAGCGGCTGCTTTCATATTCACGGTGTTGATGCGAATGGTGTCTTTCCATACCTTCCTGGAGCTTGCGCGGCTGCGAGCCGATTTTTTGAGGGATGACATGTCGTGGGCCGGCTTTGTACGCTTCATCCTGGTATTGACTGCTGCGCGCTGTTGCGCGCAAAGCCTGAACATACATAGCTACTGACCGGTTGCATGCCAGCTGTTGAGATAGACCATCAAGTTGTTTACTGGGGCATGTGTGGAAGGTACTTGCAGTTTTGGATTGTGGATACATGTGGATACCTATGCCCTGTGCCAACAAGACATGTTGCTTACTACTTAATCATCCGATTTTTTAGTGCAACACTGTGATTCTCCTGATGTTGCACTCAACTGCACGCCCGTAATCTTTGTTGCCTTTCGCGCCAAGGCTACGAAACGCAAGCAACAACATACAGCAGATGATGGGAGGTTCATGTTTGGTTTGCTCGTTCCCAAAAAGAGTCTACACACACGGATTGCAGGTGTGCAGGAAAGCGGGTTTGTGTTTACGTTGCTTGTTGCCCAACAAGTAATGTTACATACTTGAATTGCAACTGCGTTTGGTGCAGTGCTGAAATGCATTAGACGGCTCCTATCTAGGTAGGGCGCAGCCAATCTGGGTACACGAAGGGGACAGGCCCTTTGCCACAAACAACGGCCTAAGGTGCCAGGTAGCTTGGCATGCGGCGAGGGTAAAACAGCCTGAGTTCTTTGAGACAACGGACCCGAAATAAATTGACTCCGCTGCCAGTGAGGGAATCCATCCGGTGCCTTCCACTTTTGCCACGTTGGATCTGACCAACTCACGCAGGGACGCTAGTTTTTTGAAGGATCATCGCTTGGCATTGTCATTTACAGGGTTTCGCCTCAAATACGGTGCACTGTTTGAGCGGGAAATTGGCTTTCGTGAAAAGGCCATGTGCAACTTTCACCCAACGGAGCGGATCGATCCAGGGGTCAGCTGCAATTTCCAAGCCATGCGCACAGGGCCCTCGCCCATTGACATCATGACCTGCCTGGACATGGTTTTGGACCACGCGCCTTGGCAAGCAGAGTTCCTGGAGGATAGGAAACCCCTGAGATGGTCGGGTCCTTGTCCTTCGATCTCCCTCTTAAGAGCCTACATGAGCGTCTCAAAAAGGCACAACTGATGGTCAATATGGCTGTGGGTCAAGAATAGGTACCTATTTGGGGAACCCTGGCAAATGGAAACATGGACTGAAACCTGCGGTCCCCCTGTTGGTTTAATTTTGACCCATACCCATATCTCAAGAATGTTTGGTGGTTCTGTCAAATGTGGCATGCCGTGCTCTAACAAGGCATTGCAAGGCCACGGCCGTTGCTATGCTTTGTTAGCAAGCGGCGCCTGCTTCATAATCGCAGACAATTCCGGACCTGGCAAATGGGCCATTGTCAATGGACCCTCAACTCGCCACTTTGGCATACAGTTCACGTACATGGTAAGAAAGTTGAGAACCCTTTCTGGTTGGGCTGATTGCTATTAATCGCTAGGGATCCATTTGAAGCGGGGATGCAACTTGCCGTAGACTATGTCACTTGGCGAAAACTGTCTCACCTTCGAACATGAGACTTGACTGGAAGTCTTTGGACATGTTCTTTGACAGGTTCTGGTGGATTTCACGTTGGTGGGTAGGAAACGTCTTCTTGAATGCGGCAACGATCCAGTCATTTTCAGGTCATGTATTTGAAAGATGCATGCTGTGCTGTTGTTTAGCTGCATGCCGCTTGTTGCTAGGTTCACACAACTTTGTAAAGCACGCTACATGACCATGTTGTTTACAAGTAGCAGCCCTCTTCCACTGATGAAGTACTTGGATCCAGCACTTGAAGTCTCAACATGACACCTGTAAATCAATCTCTGCAGGGGAAGCTTCCACCCAGGCTTTTGCCACAGCCCTTCAGCCGAACCGATGTTTTGCTTCTTTTAGACCATGACTCAGCCAATTGGGATGCTGACCTGAAAGCCACTCGGAGCGATGCCGATTCCTTCGCGGCGAGCGGGGCGACTGCGATGCGCCGGTCTCGGTCTTGGCTTGTGGGCGCTGGTATGGCCGCCGTTGCTTTTTGCGGTGCAGGACCGTCGCAGCGACGGTCGCTGGTGTCGAGAATCCCTATGTCAACGTGTATGGGGTGGTTTTGCATTGTATGTTTACTGTAGGTGAGCAGATTCAAGCTTGACAAACGGTGTTTTCTTTTCTGCTTGAGGTTTTATGGCAAGGGAAAAGATGCGGGGTTGGCAACTTTGCTGCGTGGGCTTGGGGGGAGGGTCATGTGAATGTCACAATCGGATTTGGAGATTCGAAATTGCGGGGCCACAATTAAAGACTGGGGAGTAGTTGAAGCACAATGCATGATACGTACCAGAGCATGGAAAGTTGGCATCACATGTTTGTCTAATCCAACTTTGTCCACATGCCATGCCTGGCAGCCGAAGATACGAGAGGCATATGACGATGTTTTCTCATAGCAGGGGGGTGGTGGTGGTTTGGGGGCTCAACCCCCCTCAGAGTGCTCCATGGTGCCGTGAAAAAAAACCACCTGCACAGGAGCCCCGAGTGCAGACGCTCGGCGCTTCAGTTTTGAGACTGTCGCATTCGTTTCCGGGCTCAGGGGAATGGGCAAAACACGTGACTCGTTCTTACACTACATGGGTGGCTCGCCTTTTGGTAGTGGACCCTCTGGCGGTGTTCCTTTTGGTGTCCCTTTAAACCCCCCCAACAACAGGTGCCCTCAAAAAGAGAGACCCCACATTGATGAGGAGACTCCTTGTTGAGCTGAATGTTCCACGAGGTTCTACACCATGGACATGCTCCCCGGCAGTCAACATTTGCGGCTGGAGCGAACAAAGAGTCAGTAGCCTCGAAATTAACAGGTGACTGCCAGATATGTAAGGTGCCCATATGCTCAGAGGACGTGGATCACTTTGGAGGAGAAGGGAATACCATACACCCGGAAGGTTGTCAACGTGAGAAATGCGACTGAAAGAGAATGGTACAAGAGCAACGTGAACCCGCTGGGGAAGGTTCCTGCCATTCAAGACGCTGATGGCACGACTCTCTATGAGTCAGAGATTATCAACGAAACTTGGCTCAAGACGCATGTCTGAAGCTTTGTGCCTTTGAGCAGTTTCATGGTGTGACAGAGCTAGTTTAACACGAAGCTCGCACATAACACCACAAGTAGGGAGGTGTAGAGTTCAAGATTTGTCCTAGGGAAGGGCTCCTCTCCCCCTTTTGGTGGGTTTTTGAGCACTACTCTTTGTGTGACAGCGGGCTTGCTTCCTTTCAGCGTGGTGGTCTTTGAAAGGACGTCTTGGGGACCCGGCTTGGCCAATACGTTGCCGCGGTCAGCCTTTTTTTTGGTGCATCACTATCCCAGTGAAGCTGGCAGCCCGATGCAGGGGGGCGCTGCCATTGCGCCACAGCTCCCCACTGTCAACGAAGCCGGGAAAACTCGTGCCTAAGTCTGTTTGTATGTCTCTGTGTTTGTACCTGTGTTTGTCTCTGTCTGTGTCTCTCTGTCTCTGTAATGGTTTCACCCAGAACGAACCCAAGATCAAGAATCAGAGGGCCAGCAGAACCTCAGTGTGTTGGGACTCCTCCCCAGGCTCCCTTTTTTGGTTTTGAGAGAAGTTGGCTTAGCCTGCCCCGGGTGATTCCCTGATGACAACTCAGCCCACCAAACAGCACGGCAGTTTACTCCGGGTTTGCCTTGTTACCGACTTGCAGTTTCCGAGTGCCGAGGAATATTTGGAGCAAAAGTTCGACGGGCCAAAGCTGATGCCCGCCGATCCGGCTGCATGCGCTGCAGTGCGTCTTTGGACCCATCACTTAAACAACAAGTCGCTCGGCTTCGAAAGGACTCGGGCGCTTGCGCAAGCCAAATGTTCCCTAGTGGTTGGTTCTTCGGACCCCCCACAGATGGTTGCGTTCCCTCTCGTTTCCCCTCAGCTCGCCAACAGGGATGTCCATGTTCCGTTCTTTGGGCCGAAGAAGTTGCAACCTGCATGGCCTGCATGGCTGCAGGCTGGCCCCCGCGCATTTCACCTTTCTGATGAACAAGAACGAAACCGCGGAGCCGGGGAAGCGCACAGCGCTGGAGGATGCCTTGCAGTACTATGAGGACCGGTGCCAGCGACCCAGGTCCAGCCAATCTGAGAGCAACCCCTGTCCACAGATGTGCCATGGTCTAAAAAAGGCCATGGTCAAAAGAAGCCCTCACTTGGGGTTGGTAGGCATGGTGACAAACCTAGGGACTTTAGACCAAGGTAAGGGTTTAGATTCAGGGAGCCATGACCCATGGCATGCATAAGGAGAGCTTTGATACTGGCGTGACACTTCACAGACCACTTCGCACCTTGCGGTTGAACCGGTCAGCGAACGGGATGGTCCTGCGTAAGTTCGTGTAGAGAAGGGGCACAAACCTCAAGGCACGTCTCCCAAAAAAGGCAAAGCCAGTCCATAGACTGAGCTTCGTCAATCCGTCTGCCAGGCCGGACCATTGACTATTCCGGGTGCTCCAAAGGGCTGCAAGGAGGGTCCTCAACCCACGGGAGCAATGCACGTTGCATCTAGTGCCTCCGAGCGCAGCCCAGCCATCACTCCGCATAGACGTGGACGATGCAGTCTGACGGCGCAACAGCAGCCGGGGGTCCGGAAGGTTAGCAGCCCCTGCTGAGCGGAAACGCTTGGCCCGCTCGAAGAGCTGGAAGAATCCGAGAGTCCACCTTGAGAGCTTTAGGGACCAGAAGTCTAGCCCCAGCAACTTCTTTAAGCGTTTTGGCCGCTGGACCTTTGCGAGTGGACCAGTGTTTGGTTGTTAGTGCACCCTTCCAAGGGAATCACCCCAGAAAAGGGTCTCACAGATACCCTTTTTGGCCTCAGCCCCTAGCTCTCCTTCTAGGAGGGCCCTCGACATGAAGGTTCCCCTGAGCTGGCAGTCCTTGTGACCTCAAAACTTCATAAATCCGACTGGACTGACGTCGATCCCGAGATCGAGGACACAGCTCCGCAAGATCAAGACCGCCAGTTCTTCCTCAAAATCCGAGCAGTCTCGTGGAGAAGCAATCCTGTGGATTATCCTCTCAGTCGTTCAGTCGCACCCTTTTTCCTCCCCAAAAAGGGTTCCCGTTTTTCCAGGGTCACTGAACAACTGAGTCCTAGGCAAACACCTCCAGTGATGCCTGCGCGTGCAGGGCCAGCTTTTCAGCATGGCTGGCCTTTAGCTTGAGTGTTTCGGCACGCTGGACTGGGGTGGGGACATCTCCAGGTCAGTGCATAAGATGCCGCGTGTCATTCACGTGAAGTGTTACCGCAAGCACCGTGCTGAAACTGATTGCAAAAAATCTCACGGGTTCATGCTCTCCACCTCCTGCAACCCGCAAGCAGAATTTGTTCTACAAGCGATTGCCGGTTGCCGCCAATCAGGAGCAGGGTTGTGGCATCAAGGGGTCACTTCTGTGATACAAGGAAATCTCCCCCTTTGTGTGAGGGATTGGTTGGGAAGCCCTTTTTGTTGTATCATGGTATCACAGAAGTGGGTTCCATTTCCCAGAGCCCTCTTCATGAACATGTGTCTCTTGGGAAACTGAGCATTGTCACGGTCATGAGCATAGGTGTCCTTTTTAGTTGGTTTGCTTAAAAATAGAGGGCCCTGGTTTACCTGGTGGTTCAGTCATGTACCAGGGCCATCTATTTTCCAAAAAGGACACGTATGGTCATGAGATACTTCCTTGCTCCCATCCATCGGCTCCCGAATTCCCCACCGCCCTCGCGCCCCGAGTCGCGCCTGCGCAACGCGCAAGGACAACCTTCAAGGCCCGTATCTTGTCGGAGAGCAATTTACGCTGGCGGATGTGAATGCCTTGCCCTTCTTCGAGCGATTGATCTTCTCGTGCCGACGATTTAAGGATTTTGAGATCCCGACCCTCTGACTGCAAGCCATTTGCCGATCCCGATTTGGGGATGAATCTTAATTGGGGATCCTGACATCATTGACATGGAGTTTACGTCCATCACCCTCTTTCAAGGAGGTTCTTTGATAAACAGTATGGTGGTGTTTGTTTGGTTTATTCCGCGTTGGATTCCGTTGAGTCATCACGGGACCCCCATCAATTCTTGGCGTTGCTGCAAAAGGGACAGTCGATGCCACTGATGCCTTTTGACGTATTTTGGTTGATTTATTCAGCTCTAAGGAAGAAGATGGTGAGACTGCAGCAATGGCTCGATGCTGCCATGAGTCATGCGTCATTTCAGAAATCGAAACGGCCAGAGGACAAGCTGGAAGAAGTGTACCAGATGTTTCTGGCTGCCGACTACAAGTTCGGAGGTCTCAACCGCAACTAGTGAAAAAGCGCACCCGCGCACCGGCAGTTTTGGGACAGGCCATTCGAATGGGGAGCCCAATTCTTTGGAGGGTTTCTAAAGGGAAACCAAAGGGAGGACGTTTTGGACTGGGTGTGTCTTTTCTTAGGGTACCTTCAAAATGGCGGTTTCCTTTTGGTTTCCCTTTAAAAGCCACCAACATGTGGTACCCTCAAAAGAGGACGGACCTTAAACGTGCCATGCGGTCATCACGGAATCGGAATCAACCACTAAACGATATTACAGAAAGGGGCTCCATCTTCCAACACGTCCTTTTTTTAGTGGTCATTGACACCATTTCCTGGTCGTTGGGCCAGTTCTCTTCGTGTGCTTCTTCTGCTTCCTTCTTACTGTGATGCTTCTTCTGCCCCCTTGGGGTTGAGCGACTTAAATGCTTAAACCTTGGTTGCTTGATTCACCTTTTGGAACATGAGGGTCTCTCAGCCAAGGTCTTGGATCCACCCGAAAACATTGCCTCACCACAAAGCTTCCAGGTGGGTTCCTGCGCCAACGAGGAACGGCAGGCAGATCCACGCGGAGAGGGGAGGCATGTACCATGCACCATCCCTACAGATCACTGTTTCGGTTGTATTCCGTTTGTTTGGGGGTTGATCTCTCCTGGCGGGTGAGCGGGCCCTACCCTCTGGGCATGTCACCGGCCTTCAATTTCAGGAAGCCCTGCGAGGCCCTTGAACCTTGCCCCCCAACCAATCCGATGGGACGAGCTGATCAGAAGAGATACTGGCTGCGCATCATGGCTGACAGGGCCAGCTGTATGAAAAAGGTTTTCGCATGAGGCCATTTCAGGGGAAGCTGCATCCAATTGGGATCAAGTGGGTCTAGTCTTGGTGAAGCGTGGTGAAACGCACTTGCAGGCCTTTTTACTTGGAGACACCTGCCAGGGTTGCTTTGCTTTTTGATCCTTGGGCGGCTACCTTGTTTGGTTTCTTCACACAGCGGCTTTATGCCTTGCATATCCTGTTTCGGACTCCGCGTCGTTTGCTCTTCAGCAGTTTTATGCCAGCGAGATAGCCATGACAGGTTCAAGAAGAGTCATGGCAGCAGTATGTTTTGTGTGCAAGAGTTTGGGGCATGCGCGATAAGACACATGCAGATGGTGTTTGAGGTGAGTTTAGCTGTACAAAGATGGCACCGCTTTCAGTATGTTTTGTTTAATCCTTCACTATTGTTCTTGATTTTCAATAAGGACTCCGGCCAAATATATCTTTGGCATTCACACCTGAGTGCCAAGCATGTCCGCAGGTCTTGGAAGGACAAGGCAAGTTTGGCGAGGAGGACCGCTCTCCGCCAGATTTGGAACAAGCCGTCCATCAGCAACTGGAAAAGAGCAATTGCTCCCTTGGCGAAAGCTAATCGACCTGACATGACCTCTTGTTTTTAGTCATGGCCCCAAAGGTCAACCTTTCATTTCTGGGTCCTTTGGGCAACTGAGATTGAGTGGTGGTATAAACAGAGGGTGTTTCTTTCTTTGGGCCTCCGTTAAAAAAAGAAGAAGAAGAAGAAGCATGGACACACTCACTCGCGAGTGTCGCAGACTATCAACGCACAACGCGCACAGAGACAGAAGCACTTGGCGAACGGATTGTGCCTGGCTCCGAGCGAATCTGTGCTGTGGGTGTGTACAAGCGTTATTCTAACCATTGCTGGCATCACGTTGTTCAGGTTATCCTTATAGCTTGTGTTTTTGTTTTGGTTTTTGACTTGTAGGATGGTAAATGGGAAAACGCTCGTCAACCACCAAGCCGCCGGGCTCCGAACCACCTGAGTTGTCCATGTTTCGTTCCCCAGGCTGTCACCTCCCACTTTGCTTCCCTCGAGGTTTGTTCCCTGTGAAACGGCAAAATTCCTGTGACGAAGTCGTGACTAAGTCTTTGACGGAGAGCCTAGTTTTTTAGTTTTTGTTTTTTTTCTTGGGTGATAAGAGTACCCAAATGCCCGGGACATCCACGCGAGTGCCTCAAAAGCAAACCCTCGAGGGCCTTGCATGGAAGAAATGACAGGAGTCCTGAAAAAGTGCCAAGAGACACCATGTATTTCCTTTAAATTCGGGTGTGCCAGCTATAGATCGGGCCTGCGTAGAGCCTACATATCTCGCTTGTTTCGGGCAGTTTTCCCCAACCAACCAGCAGCAATGCGTCTTTTTGGCTGCAGGAACCCAGGAACCATAGGTGTCCGTTTGATCGGTCAGTTTGGTTCGAACTAGACGGCACTGGTTTAGAGTGGGTTTATGTTCCATTTTCCAGGGCCACCATGTTTCCCCCAAAGTGCCAGCCCCTCCCCCCCGCAAACAAAAAGGAAACAAACACACAAACAAACTTCTTCTTTTTTAACCAAAGTGCCACCTATGCCAGGCACCAAACCACCCCCCAGCTTTCGGCCCTTCAATTCGAGGACGGCGAATTTGTGGACGCCGCTGGTGAGTGGAAGCCTCAGTGCAAAGGAAACCTCCATGGCACGAAGGGAGCGGTGGCCTTTTTTTTTTGCAGGACGCCTTTTTTGGGTTGTTTGCAAGGAAAACCAAGAGGACAGCAGCTAGCTCCACCCTTTTTTTCGCCCCTCCCACCCCCCCCAAAAAAAAACTGAAAAGAAAAGAAAGGAACAAGGAAAAAGACGTATACTTACTCCGTTTCCACCTTTCTAACTTTGGTGTGTGGTCAATTTATTGTGCTAGCCTCACCCTGGCTGAAGATTGCTTGATTCAGTCTGACAATTTTGGGGGCGACCGAAGATAAAGGGCAAAATGGAGACTGAAGCTAGCCATGGTCATGATAAATACGCAGGTTTTGTTGACTCGTCAAGCGCCTTCCTGTGTTTGGACCCAGTGGATTGACAGGGACAAGTCTTGTCTGACTCGGAAGAGTTTCCGGCACCGGCCACTGCAGTTGGTCCAAAGATGTGGACACCTGGTCCTCCTTAAAAAAAATCAAAGGTGTCCTTTTCGCATGGACATGGATTGCGGGGTCATGGACATCGCGGCTGATGGTTCGTTTGTCATCTGGCCTTCAGAATCAAAGCGACCAGAGGCAGAAAGTGCCCCCGCACCGGGCTGGAGATGGCCCGGGCTTTGATAGGTTTCCGCCCAGCGGAGTTACAGTCTTCCCAAATATGCACGTGCGCTTTTTGCTGGGGACTTTTTGTTGGGGTGGGTTGAAAGGATACCAAAAGGAGAGCCACCATTTTTGGGTCCCCCACACAAGGACACATTTTATTATTTGCTTATTATTTTCCGGGGGGGGGGGTCCCTCCCATCTCTCTATTATGGTATATATCATATTATATACATATGATTTCTATGGCAGGATTTGGGTGGAGGGCAGGCTTTGACCAAATAAGGAGAAATCCCCATGTCACATATACACATCATATATATATATATATATATATGTGCTCGCCCCCCCCCCCCTCCCCGCAATAGTTAAAAAGACTTCAAGACGCAACAGGTAGATCATGGGTGCGGGGCTGACCACATATATATATATATATATATGTATATATATATACATGCTATGTGTATTATGGTATATCTCCATATATATATATATATATATACACACATATATTTACATATCTATCATATTAGATACATATATTATTTCTATATCAGGTTTTGCAAAACAACAGGTTTAATATCAGCCTTTAAAAAAACACATATTTCTATGTCCGCGTACTATTTCTATGCGGGTGTCAGGTGGGACGGGGGGAAATCTCAGGTTGGTTTTATTTATCTCAGTCAACACCTCCAACTAAGCTATTTCTATATCAGCAAATATCAGGTTTCCCCACAGGTTTTGTCAAGATCTCTCGCCAGCCTGCGACTCTGCGTGGCGGTCACGGACTTCGCCGCCAAGGGCGGCCACCGCCTCGGTGCTTGGGCCGCCCTCTTTGGGTTAACGGGCGGCGACCTGGGCCCCTGGTTTTGCTGATTTAGGCGTTGTTTCCTGAATTGCTGACCTATTCGGTAGTTTTGTCCCGTCTTTTTTTGGTCATCCCTTGCAAGAAAGGAAACTGTGACATCTACTTTCACCCTGGGGTACTTCAAGGTTGACTGAAATGTACTGAAACCTAGGGACCTGGGTGAATAACGACCTCACACGACCTCACCCCAAATCACCCCAAGGGGTGGTTTATGTGGGGAATATCCCTCCAACCACCTTATTTCAGGCTGGTGAAACATTATAATTCACCCAGATGGACGGGATTCCCCACAAGCGCTCAAGTCCACCTTGGGCTGCTCCACCACTGGAACTGCACGCCTCGGGCCGGTTAAGGACTATTGGGTTGGAACACCACCCTACCGTCGTGTTGCAGCTGGTACCAAGGGAAATGCGAGTCTCCAATGTTAGACACCATCCTCAAGGGAAGCAATCTGAGCGTGTCAGATGCCTTACTTGCCAGGCGAGCTGCACATGCTTAGAGCCACATCTGATTTCCTTGCCTGGGCAAAATAGGACTATCTGGGGTGCCACGTATGCGCTTTGGCCCAACAGAGCCTGCGTCTGGCCTTTCGAGTCACGCTCCGTGCACGCAGGATCTGGGCCTTGTTGGGCCTTTGGGGCTTCCGAAAAGGTATTGCCAAACTTTCGAGTCCCGCTCCGTGTATTTGGCCATAGTTGAGGCCTCCTTTCGCAGTTCGAACCGTTTCGTTGAGAGCACGTTTTCGCCCGGTCTCGAAGCGGGCCATCGGCACGCCCGTTTTAGAAGTGGTTGATGTTGCTGTTCGCTTCCCATTCGCAATGGCAGATTCCATTCGAGGGTCGGGAAGGGATGGTTGACCTCGTGAGGCAACGACGGCGCAGACGCTATCTCACGGATTCAGGAGGCAAGACCGGTAGCCATCATTGCAAGTATACATCGCCTGTCAAGGTAAGTCACCCGCCCTGTATGTGGGCCTGTTGAGCGAGTTGTCAGCAATTCATCAAATAGGGCGACGGAAGTGACGCCTCATCATCCCCCAAAGCAATGAGTCTTGCTTAGGACTAGCTTCAGCATGCGCAGTGCCGACATGCGGCGTGATTCTTCTACCTGCAGTCTTGTGCTTTTTCCGAAGCGAGTGATCAAAATGTCCTGCAGCTCGGCTATCAGAGTCTCCTCTGGAGGCGTCTCTCATAGATCGTTACCTGTTTCGCATTGTGTCGCGTCCGAGATTTCGGTAAAACATGCGCTGGGACCCGCGATCGTAGATGCGATTCGGGGTATCTGAAGGGCCGAATCTGAAGGACGCGAGCGAAGTCAGAGGAAGTGTGCGGCCATGGCTTGTTTGGCCATGTGCCATTCACAGCTATGCTGAGGAACGAGAACAAGGCACAAGGGTTGATGCGGCCCGGAGGAGACCGGCGTCAGACTGTACATCGACGAGACTTCGTATGACAACCACCAGGCCCAGGGAATGGTTGGACAGGATGGGGGGCTCCCTCGTGAAACAGTATAGGCGTGCATGTTGCTCGCGCAGAGCATCCAACTTGTCGTTGTCTTCGTCCTAGAAACCAATAGAAGGCTTTGTAGATACAATGCTTTGTTTCTGGCCATGTAGTTGATTCATTGAAGCACAAGTACAAGTCCGGACAGCGGCAAATGCCTACACGAACCTGATGAAAACCTTGCAATGCATCGAGACAGTATACTCATTCCATTGATTTTTAGACAACAAATAGTGGTTCCGACAAAGTGCGGAGCAGTTGCCTGTCCTGTTCACGTTGTCAGTATTAAAAAAAGGTCGAACAAGCAGAGCGCATCAAGTGAAGTCGGTCGTGCGCCAGAATCAATCTGTTGAAACCAATGAATCAGTCCAATGAGTCAACAAATACAGACAGGTTGTGATGGGTTCCCACCGTGCAATTTTCTACGTGACTTCAAAGTCGACTAAGTTTTGTGTGGGCCAGGATTGAGGATGTTATACAAATGTTGATGTGGATTCTTGAATCTTCGGCCTTCGATCTGGGGCAACATAGATAGGTAACTGTTGTTTGTACAATAATATTGTATATATATATATACATGTTTGATGTCTTCATATTTCTCTTTGGTGACCAGTGCCGCTTGCCAGCTCATCGTGCTCGCGGGGAATAGAGATCAGCTGCTGGCTGTCACAAGCTTAGCGTGACGTGCGCATCGTGGGTCATGCGTCAAATTCGGAGTTCCTCCGTGGTGGTCGTTGCTGCTGCTCCTGCCTGTTCCTGTTGTTTTTTTCTTGCTGCTCTCCGTCGTGCTGTTGTGTTTGTTCCCAGGAAACTTGTCATGTTTGGGCGCCGAAATTATCGTCGTCGCTCAAGGCTCAATGATGTGACAGCCTTTCAGGGGTGTTGCTGTGAAAGCGACCTTGTGATTTCTTGGTGAAGTGCCAGACGGAGGTGGCATGTCTGGTTTTTGATTGCATGAGAGTTTCGAAATTCTCGGGGTATTTGGTGGACATTGCGCGTCTGAGGGCCTGGAGCGTTTCAACAGCTTAGTGCAGGCTGGGGCTGTGCGGTTTGTGTTCTTTGCTTCCCTCCTGATGAATGTGGTTCCCAGGCGATCGGCAGACGAGCGGTTGAATGAAGTACTGCACTGTGGTTGGGTTGAATGTGTGGAGGCGTGGTATGCCCATTCACTGCCCCCGTCAGTTTACGCTTCTTCAGGAAGGCACAATTGAAAATGTCCGTTGCAGATGTTTCGATTCAAAGGCTCTATTTCATAGGTTCAGATTCAGAATGTTCTTTATCCCTGATACATGTGATGGAAGTGGAAGCAGTTAAGTGTGTGACCCAAGCCGACTGGGCATCGAGGCGTGTGCAAGAACCACGCTCAAAGTCATCCAAGGTCTTTCTGAAGCCCGATGAATAATTATAATGAAAACCCACCACCACTTCTAGAACCTATTCCTATTTTAAGAACCCCTTCTGCCTTTCCAAGAATGTTGGAAGACTTGGAGTCGTCGGATTCTAGATCATAGCCCGACCTCAAGGTGATTGAAGATGGCGCCACTCGCCAGCAGCCCTTCCAAGGGTTTGGTTTCGCGCTCGCTCCCATTTGGGTAAAGGCCACTTTTTTGTCCCATGGCGATCTAGGCAACACGACCTCCATGAAGGCTCCTTGGGAGCCTATGGAGCCCCTGGCGGGTGAATTCTTGCTGGTCATCCACTTCTTACATTTGACCCAGGAGTGTGACCTAGGAGTGGTTCATGACATCCTTCACAGGTTGAACTTCAAAAGAGTTCTTTGGCATACATTTCCCCAGGAGTTTGTTGTCGCTCTGTCTTTTGGCTTTAACATGTCGTCACGCAGGCTAGGCTCCAGCGTCATTTGTAGAGCCTTTTCAGATGAAAAACACATTTGGTGCAGTGCAGTGAAGTGATGAGACCTCAAATGTTGCACTGACCTCCAAAAAAAACAGAGGCTGATTGTGTTGCTTCTTGCCAAGGCCTGTTTTTTTTTTTTTTTTTCTGATCTCCAGTCGTGTTTTTAGCTTCCAAAACTCGAAGCGAGAGGCCCGCATGGAGGAGGACTGGTTCCCCGCATGGGCAGATTTGAAGACCTTTGGTGGAGGCTGGGATGTGCCGATAGGGCGCAGTCACAAGTTATGAGTCTAGGCTTGCGAACGTGTGCCGGGTCTAAGGGAGGCGCGAGCCCATGTCATGTTGAACTAGTTGTGTTGGGAGCTGATAGACATGGTTCCTGAGTTTGGCAAGTTCGGTGCATGTGGTGCTTGTGAGCGACAGCCATTGTGCCATCTTGTGCCACTGGTGGCTATGATTGGCATAAACATCTGGCGAGGGCGCCAGGGGCTAACAGATGGGGCCTGCCTCAAGCTGTGCCGATGCAGGTAGAGATGATTTCCGCCCACCGCCACCACATGAGGCGACCGTATGCAGATTTCTTGCTCGACAAGTGGCGTACTTGCCCCATGAAGTGGAATTTTGCCAGGGTGGTCAATGCAGCTTTCGCTCACAGGAAGGTCCCGCCATGCTAGCGACCCCCCCTATGAAGATTCCTTTCTTCGAAATCCGCTTCAGATGTTTGACATATGACTGTGGGTCAACACCAACGGCACGATTTTGGGGTAGGTGCACCGCCCATTTTAGTCTACTTTAGTTGGGATTGGGATGTTCACTGGGGGTACGATTCGGCTTTTGACCCCTGGCCATATGATTCACTGAGGTTTTGTTTCGCTTTTCATCAGCTCAGACGTGTTTCGGCTTTCCCTCCCAGCAAATGCCCAGGGCAGGTCTTCGAAGCACCGCAACGTGCTGTTCATTGGTGGCCTGTCGCAGCCGGGGTGCCTACGGACGAGCAGGATGCCGCCAAAATTCCCGGAGGGTTGGGGGAAACCCAAAAGACTCGCTGCTGCGATAGCCAGGCAATGAGGGAATGAACCGTTTTGGCGAAATATGGCTGTGCCTTTTCGTAGGGTATCCTCCTAAAAGGCTTTCTAACCGATGCTCGGCCCGTGCTGAGGCAGACTGACGCGGCCAATCTTCAAAGCTATTTTTCCAGGCGACGCGGCCGTTACGCCATCGCATGTCCCATTGACGATGTTGTGATGACAGCCTTTCCCTTGCATTGACTGCTTCCTATTTCTGACCTTGTGGATGCTTGTTCTCAGCTATGTGACACATTGTGGACTGCATGACTTCAAGAACGAAGAGCAACAGTAGCAATAAGGAGTTCGCTTCATGGCTCTTCTGCAAGCAGCTTGCGAAAACGGAAAGCGAGGGCCCAAGGCCAAAAACCCAGAAACAACTCGAGAGACCCCCCAAGAATCGCACACCTTGAACACCAAGCAAAAAACAAAGCATTTCTCAGGTCTTTTGGGTTTGTGGTTTTGGGCAGGACTCGTCCAGTGGATTTGGTTTTTTTGAAAGGAAATCCTACTTGAATATTTTAGTTTTAAGCGGAGATTCGAGTTGAACTCTTCTTGAGAAAATTGTGTTTCAATGTTAGCTGATCATGTGTAGAGAACTCAACATCTATTTCAAAACACACCATTCTGTTTGGACTCTGTCCTTATCGAATTCAAACATTAATGGGTTGTGAAGTTCTGTGCGGCAAGAAAATCTAGCTGGATCAAAAACTCAAGATATTCCAGTTGGCTTCGGAATACGTACTTCCTTGTTTAGTTCTATTAAACATATATTTAGTTTTGTTTGGTTAGAGCGGCCTTTGGTGAGGATGTGACTTTTGTATGAACACCGCTACATGCCGCTGTGTTTTACCAAGTTGTCTGACCATGGTACTGCTTGGGGCTTTGAAAAAACGGCCACGGTGTTGGACCTTTGAATTCTATCCTTATGACATGTGTCTTTAGTCAATTTATCAACTCCAACTCAATTTCTGAATTTTAATGGAATCAAGAAGGACATACTCTAGTTCATCATTACTATTTTAAACTAGAGTATACATAATTGTTCTATTTCAATTTCCTTTTTCCGCGGGATGTCCTGTTTAATAGACTTGTCTTGACAAATCAGTCAACATTGAACAGTAGAACGAGCACAGCAGCATCACCAGCCAGCATCCCAGGCATCACCTGCCAGCATTACCAGCCCAAAACATGCTAGAATCAGACCACGCCATTTTTGCGCAGAAAACGCTCTGCAAACCTTTCCCCCCCTTCACCCCCGCCTCTATCGACCTAAAGGTCGCTTTCCGTTGGCCAGAGGTGCAGTCTGGTTCATCTCCCGCAGCTGCTCACAGCTAGGAGATGGATAGCCGTGCTTTGGCTGTCGCATTGCAGCATGACCATTACCGTTTCTGTGGCATTGCTGAGTGGGCAGATGGTTTCAATCCAAGCGGATGCAGGCACTCTGGTGGGTGAGCTGCGGCAGATGGCACAGAGCAAGCTGGGGCGAACCCTGATTGCTTTGGTTTCACCTTTGGGGGATCAAATGGACGCATTCAGCTTGCTGGACAGCGTCTTGTGCGACGGGGCCGTTGTCAGCGCAGTCTCCAAAGCAGGTCCCATTCTGCAGTCACATCGGAAGGCTAGCACGTTTGCTGCCATCCGGGCAGATGGCACTGTCGTCACTTGGGGGCACAGGTTCCATGGTGGTGACAGTCAATCTGTGAAAGATCAGCTGGTGAACGTGCACAAGATTTACGCCACACACAAGGCATTGGCTGCAGTGCGCGCCGATGGGTCGGTTGTCACCTGGGGTCATTCAGACCATGGTGGGGACAGCAGCTCGGTCCAAGATCAGCTGCATCAAGTGCGGCACATCCACTCCTCCATGCAAGCCTTTGCCGCCCTCCGCTGGGACGGCTCGGTGGTGACCTGGGGTTTGCCAGCCCACGGAGGAGACAGCGCCTCGGTGGCGCAGCAGCTGGTGAAGGTGCAGGAGATCCACGCGACCGAGGCGGCCTTCGCGGCAATTTTGGCGGACCGCTCGGTGGTGACCTGGGGTCATCCGGAGCAGGGCGGGGACAGCACCGCCCGGTGTCAGCTGGGCGAGGTGCGGAGCATCGCGGCGTCTGGCAAAGCCTTCGCAGCGGTGAAGCTGGACGGCTCGGTGCTCAGCTGGGGCCACCCAGAGTATGGGGGCGACTGCTCCTGCGTGAAGGAGCAGCTGAAGGAGGTTGAGGCGGCATGCAAGTTGAGTGTCATTGAAGGGAAGCGACAGGTTCGTTGAGACCATGTATTATGTGTTCAAATGTTCAAAACCTCCCCAGTCCCGTGGTTTAGGATTGAACTTGCCATGTTCGGCAGAAATCTGAGTGAAGTAGTAGGGATGTTGAAATCCCATTGAGATCAATCATACGAATATGATCCACAGCACTGGTCAGTATTAGGCCCGTATCAGTTTCTGGTGATATATATATATATATATATATATATTATCATCCGAAAGTTCCTCGCAAAAAACCAGGGGATACTCTGGACATGGAACCTAAGCAGGGGATCCATTTGAAAGGAGATTGATAGAATCATATGTGTTTAGTTCCCTCCAACACGCAACCGGTGGACACTGAGTTGAAGAATGTTTGCACATGTTCGTCATAGCTAGACTTGGTTGACTCCCATTGGGACACTTTGGGTTTGAGTCCCTGGCCAAGCCTCCCCTCCAATGTTGAGAAGCCTATGGGTTGACTCAAACCCCCCTTTCCCCCCCCCCCCCCCACAAAAGTCGGCCCCCCCAAAGGCCAGAGGTGTCCTTTTCAGGTTGGTTTGGAGAGAAATCGATGGGGTCCACTGGTTGAGAAATTGGTTTTGTATGCTTTTATGTTATCCAAGTACCAGAAACAAAACCATCTTTTTGACCTAAACCACACCGATGAATCGCCCATGTACCAGGCAAACACCCATCGATTTTGCCAAAACGACGCCTCTGAATCGCCCATTTTAGAGGGACACCCATGTATTTGTCCTGCATGACACCTCCGAATCCTCCATTTTAGGAGGGAAACACCCCTTTTTGTAGGGAACCACCCATTCTTTGTTGCATTTTGCTTGGATGTTAGCACTTTAACTTTTGCCAACTAATAGGTTTTGCGAATAAAACCACTAAAAGTTCAACTTTTAGCAGGGGAGCGGAAAGCAACCGAGCAGTTATTTGCTTGCTTTTTTACCCAAACATCGATCCGCCGAGCTCAGCGGAGCTCGGAGCTCGCAGCGGGCTCCAGGCGCTCTTCAGCTCCAGCGGGGCCTTCGCGGCCATCCGGAAGGACGGCTCCGTGGTGACCTGGGGCCATGCCCTGAGCGGTGGGGACGCCCGAAGTGTGCAGAGCCAGCTGCTGGAGGTGCCGCTGGGCGAAGCGCAGATGGGGGAGGGGGTGGGGGTGGGAGGTCGGGGGAGGTGGGAGGTGCTATGGTGCAACCAGAATGTGGGCTATGTGTGCGGGGGAAAAAGGCTTGTTTTGTTTTGTTACCCCAGAGCACTATTCTGGTGGTTGGAAGAGAGCCAAGGAGATGGACATTCAAGTTTGCCTTTTGGAGGAGCTAACGGTAGTATGCTTGACGGAATGGACGTATGTGTTTTGATGTGTCCCAGACTTGGGGCAAAGGCGAATACGACCCTCTAAACGTGGCCAGACTTGACAAACCCTTTTTCTCAGTTGAAGTCCCTTCATGATCCCTGATCAGCAGAAAGTCAAGCTTGTGCGGCGGGGGATCTACTCCACAAATAGACATCGAACCCAGAAAAGAGGTCCGTTTCCCAAAAGGAGCCTCATGTACAAGTACAAATTGTAGGGTTTTGGGGAATCAAGTTTAATCTGCTGGGGTGTAAGGCTCCAGGTGCAAGGAAGTGAGTCCCAAAGAGTAAAATAAGTTGGTTTCGGTCGATCAAAGGCTTACCCTTCTGCTTTGTATCTCCTTGTGTGTTTTCCTTTATCTTCCTTAGAAGTCGAAACCAACCTTTGGTTTCGTGCTTCTTGCGCGCAGGATGCCCCAGAATGTTCTTGGAGAAACTCCTGTTTTCCCAATAACGATTCCACCCTTTTACCTAGGCGCTCAAGTGTGACAGTTATTCGTGGCTCTATGTTGGTCTTGCTTGGCCCACTTTCAGACTCAAGGCTGTAGGTCAACGCTCTTTGGACCGAGGAAGCACATCTACGTGTCCAACAAGGCCTTTGCGGCACTGACCCGTGATGGGAGAGTGGTGTCCTGGCATCAAGGGGATGCTTGATGCATGCCTTAAGTGCGCGGTCTTAGGCCAAGGGTCGAAGTGTCTTGCCTTCTGCGTGATGATTCCTGATTCCTGAGCAACGGACTTGAGAAGCAGCTGGCGCCGCCGGCAGCTTCCAGTGTCTCCTAGGTGAGTATATTGTAATATATAGTATGTGGCCGTGCGTGCGTTTGCGCGCGGGCTGTGTGTGTGTGTGTGTGTGTGTGTGTGTGTGTGTGTGTGTGTGTGTCTGTGTGTGTGTGTCTCTTGTGTGTGTGTGTGCGTGTCTCTGTGTGTGTGTGTGTGTCTGTGTGTGTGTGTGTGCCTGCGCTTGTCTGTCTGTCTGTCGGTCGGTCTGTCGGTCTGTCCTGTCCTGTCTGTCTGTGTGTCTCTGTTGTTTGTGTCTGCTTGCTTGCTTGCCTGGCTGGCTGGCTGGCTTGCTTGCTTGCTTGCATGCATGCATGCTTGCTTGTGTTTGTTTGTTTGTTTGTTTGTTTGTTTGTTTGTGTGTGCGTGTGTGTTTGTTTGTTGGTTGGTTGTTTGTTTGTTTGGTTGGTTGTGTTGGTTGTTTGCTTGCTTGCTTCTTTGTTTGTTTGCTTGTTTGTTTGTTTGTTTGTTTGTTTGTTTGTTTGTTTGTTTGTTTATGTGATTGTTTGCTTGTTTGGTTGTTTCTTTCTGTCCATCCTTCTTTGTTTGTGTTTGTTTGTTTGTTTGCTTGTGTGTTTGTTTGTTTGTTTGTTTGCTTCTTTGTTCGTTCGTTCGTTCGTTCGTTTGTTCTTTTGCGTCTGTGTGTGTGTGTGCGCAGTTTGTTTGTTAGGCATTTGTTTGTCTGTTTGTTTGCAGTTCGCTCGTTCATTCATTCGTTCCTTCGTTCATTAGCTTGTTTGTTTGTAT